TAGATCTTCATGCATGCACTAAATCGTAATTCTAGCCCAGGGCTACTTTAGATAGGGTAGCTACTTTAGATGCAACATGTACACCTCTTTACAAGAACATTTTTTTTAAAAAAGTTCCTATGGTCCCAAAAGTGTGATTATAAAGAAGTATGACTGACCAAGAAACTGAACAAGGTTTAAAGAAGAATGTTGACTGTCATTGTAATAAAACAAATTGTGAAAAATAGAAGTTGTTCTTGTCGTAAGAACACTGCTCTTTGTATTTTTCGTTGTAGTTGTATTCACCGAGGTACATGCAAAAATCATAAATTTTTATTGCTATATAGCGCTTAGCAGTTGTTTAGTCTTTATATGTGAATCTTAACGCCAATAATGGAGGTAAATACAATAATTAATAAAAAATAATTTGATTTGCGTTGCGAATTTTTATTTTTATTTTTTTTTAATCGATATAATCGTACTGATACCGATTAAAATATGAAGTACTTTAATTTACAATTTCGAAGCTACGTACTTCAATTTTTAATTGACGGAAATTTGAAAGTGACGTCTAACATATATAAGTAAATATTAATTTTATAATAAATACAGTAATTTATAATAAATTATCATTATAAGCAGTTTAATATTGTAATCAACGATTTGGTAACACTTTGGGCGAATGCCATGTTTCCACTAAAAAAAAAGACATCTCGAGAGAAGGGGCTCGAGAAAATCTGGGTAGCTTCAAGAACATGGAACCCAGTGATATTTTCGTGTTCATCACATCACATGATTAAGTGTTTGGGTTAGTGTTAGGGTTAGGTGATAGGATAGTTTAGGCTAAATTTTTAGACAAATGACGTCATTGCATGATTTCGCATGAGATGTGATCACTGAATTCCGTGTTCTTGAAGTGTCCCACTATTAAAATAAAAAATTTTTACTGAATATTATAAAATAGTTATAGAGGGATCAATTTTGTTGATTGGCTTTTTTATTTTTTGAGTATGTATCACTCGCAGGAATAAGTGCCCAAATGCACTTTATAGTGTCACATGACAGTAAAGACGATCAGTGTTTAAAATTCGATGTTCTCGGTGTTCTCAGAGAACGCTAAACAACTTTTGAGACCATAAATTATTAAAATATGTTCTCTATTGAGAACATTCTGACAAATTCTTTTAATATAAAAACAGAAAATTCAATTTTCTCATATAGAGAACATTAAAGCTTAAAAAATGTTATTTTTGAGAATATGAAATCAATTTTAAATTTTAAACAATGAAGACAATATTGGCCAATATAATTGTACCGATTTTTTATAATAAATAGCAATAAACCTTTATTAAAAGTCTTTAGGTCTTCTTTAAATACATGACTTCGGACAAGCATATATACATTCATATTCATTCTAACAGATCTTAAATGAATATCTTCATATCGTAACAATGGCATGAACCGTAGTAATTCTACCGCAGTGACATCTTATGGTTTTGGAACGACATTGACGCAATGGTGTCTACTCATTAATCAGTTCCAATAATGGGTAAATCAATTGTAAACAACCCTATTATGGTCATGAGGTATCTTCTTTTACGCTTCAAATAACTAGAATTCATTATTGAATCATTCTTTCTCGAATTAATCATTGGAAAAATGATAAACCCAATCAATTTTTTTGTTTTTTTTTTTTTTTACTTTGTTTAAATTCAAATAGATTAATAAATTTGTAGTCATGGTTACTGTTACCGTATTCTATAAAGCCAAGATCAAGTGTAACGCGAAATCAAAACAAACTACAGTACTTTGTTTAAAAAATCGTTAATAATTCAATTTCAACTACTTCTTACGTTTTAAAAAAAATAATTTGGAGTTATAGTCACGTTACACTTGAACTTTGTTATAGTTACTGTAACAAAACAATTAATTATATTAGGTTTATATAATTAATTGTTTTGTAATCATAGGTTACAATAACCATAACTATGATCAGGTGTAACGTGATTGTCAACCCAATTTTTCGTTAGAACGTAAGTGATGGCTTCATATTGTCTACGCCCAAATCCCGAACTCCGGCCAAATTTATAAACGGAATTTGTTTTTTTTGAGTTTGGGATTTGTCCGGGCTTTGTTAGCAAGTATAGTTAGACTGATCTTAAAACAATTTCGAGTTATTACAGTAACCATGGATACAAATTGATTGATTCATTTCAAAATTGTAAATATGCTGTGTTACTTTGGTTTTAGATAAAAGAGCCCTTTTCTATGCTTTGGACAATTAGATTTTTCCCTGTATCCATCATTATAGAATCATACTTTAAATGCTTGTCCATATCCTCCTTTTTTCTCTCTTTATTCGTTTTCTTTTCTTGGTTTGTTCATTTTTACGTCATTCAATTAGTGGTCAGGCTAATAAAGAAGAATCTCATAACGAAACAATAAATCCTTCAAAACCACCTAATTGTGATGGTTTAGTTATTGATCATGCCAATAAAGAAGAATTTTATATGGAAGCAATAAATCCTTTAAAACCGACTGACTGTGATGATTTAGTCAGTGATCATGCTAATAAAGAAGAATTTCATAATGAAGCAACAAATCCTTCAAAATTGCCCGATTGTGATGATTTAGTCAGTGATCATGCCAATGAAGAATTTCATAGTGAAGCAACAAATCCTTCAATATCACCCGATTGTGAAACGATATATGATTCAATTAGTGGTCAGCCTAACAAAGAATTTCATAACGACCGTTTAAAACCGCCCAGTTATGAAACGATATATAAACCAGATATTAAATATTCCGAATTAACCGATCTTAGACCGTTTGAATCAGGAGGTTTTGGAGTTGTTTATAAAGGACAATGGAACGGATTATGCGTAGCAGCAAAATTTGTTAAACGTGGAGGTTCTTCTACAGAATTGAATAATAAAGATTTTAATCGCGAGGTTTGTTGAAATGGAATATAAAAGCGGGTTGTAAATAAATTAATCATAATTTTTTTTTTTTTTTCAGTTGGATGCCTTAAGGAAATCTAAGGATTGTAAAGAGCATATTATCCAATTCTATGGATTGTCCCAAGGTAAATTTTATTTCTATACTTGAATTGCATGTCAGAAATGAGAGCCTGGTTTGTGGCACAGCAAAATCTTCAAAGTTCGTTTATTTAAGGTTAGGGTTATGATTGAAATCTGTTTCGTAGTTTACGATATCTGTGCCACAAACCTCACTTAATTAATCGACAATCAATTCTATTTCGCCGACATCAATAATTACTCTGTTGAAAAACGAACTAAAAACTATACCTAACGTGAGATAATTTTTTATATTTAATTTTAAAAGTTAAGATTAAAATAAGGAGTGAGTACTATTAACCCTAGCTGCCGCAACAAAATGGTATGGAAGATTCTCGATTTTGATTGGCTAAGAGCGACGATCAAAAAATTAGGCCGGAATTACTCATTATTTTACTAAAGAAATCGCAGCCGCCTATTAAGTGAAAATTGTTCCTGGGCCAATTTTACCATAATGCGGGCTTTTTTATAAAAATTTCTATTTTTATAATGAAAAGAAACAATTATTATGTAATGGCCAAAATTTGAAGATCCTCGGCCGTTAGCCAATCAAAATCGAGGATCTGCAGAGACAATTTTGTTGCGGCAGCTATGGTTAATAGGTAGTGAGTACTAGACATGTGCATGGGAATTAGGGATGTGTCACATAAATTACAATTTTACGTTACATGTAATTTTACGTAAGTTTCAGAAAACCAAATTTCATGTAATTTTTCACGCGTCATACTTAAGTACCAGATTTACAAAAAGTTTGACCAGCATTATTGCATCGTTTGATTTGAATGTACGATCCGAATTGTAACTCATAAATCACCGAAATTTGATCTCAGAAACTTAAATGCCATGTGTTCAAAATTACAATTACATGAAATTTCAATTTACCGAATCTTACGCAAAATTACACAAAATTACGTAAATTACCGTAATTTTAACATCCCTAATGGGAATATTTCGGGTTTCGGAATATCATAATTTCGGCCCGCATTAGCAGCAAGCTATCATAATGCGCCATGCGCATGAAATTTGGAAAAAATTAATTCGCACTTCACTAGGGAGTACAATTATTGCTATATATTCATGGTAGGGTGTAATAAAATTGTAAGTTGGCGAAATGATTATTTATGAAATGATTGTCAGGTTAACATATAGACTAAAGATTGCCTTGTGTGAGGCAATGTTTTGGGCGAAACCAAGCTTTGCAGATCATTTGCAGATCAAATTGGGCGAAACTAGTTTCGGAGGGTTTCGGACTTATAGGTGAAGCTAAAATTCCTCTGGCGAAACGTTTCGAATTTGGAAAATGGTTTCGCCCGAAACACTGGTGTTAGGTGACAAAAAACTATCGCGACCGCAATTTTTCACGACTTGCGTGAGATAATATCATATCTCACGCGAGATAAACTATTATATTAAGAAATTTTTAATGAAATTTTAGATTCCATGCTATTATTTCATGACACACGTGAACTCGTGCGGGCGAGATATGTAAAATATATTGCATGTTACTTCAAATACGCCCATGTGCATTATTTCGAGATAAAGAGTTAATTTAAAATTTTGATTGATATATTACACGAGCTACCATTGTTTCGGGACACACATGGGCGTTATTTCGAAACCAACTACAGAAACTATTTTAGGGGGTGTGACTTTTGAAATAATCCATGCACGCTATTTGCAGTAATAATTTCTAACAACGTGGGAATAGAAAGTTTTCGCCCATATCTTGATTATTTTACTGACTATCAAATCATTTATTTACCATAAATTATTTATAAATTTAATTTAGATCCTGAATCGAGAAATTATATTTTGGTCATGCAATTTGCAGAGAATGGCACTCTAAATGATTATCTAAAGGAACAAAAAGAGCAGCTAAGCTTAAAAAGAAAACTTTATTTAAATCAAGCTATTCTTAAAGGGTTAAAATTCTTGCATGATCTGAATATAGTGCACAGAGATTTGGTAATTACTTCTGCTAATGATTTTATCCATATTTATTTAATGACCAATTTTGCAGAGACCTGACTTTGCCATGATATAAAGTTGGTTCATTCAGGTTGGATTTGGAAATAAATAGATGTGAAATGTAAAAGATCTTATATTTATTTAATAATACCCCGATCACTATTCAAGATCACGGGAGTATTAATTAATAATACCCTGACCGTATGTGAATTAGCGGGACTTTCAGCCCCGCTAATACCCAACGGATCAGGATATTATTATTACTAACCTTCGAGAAACTTTTTCATAATATATATTACAGTCATACTCCTCTATAATCACATACTATACAATTATAAATTTTATAATATTACCTTAAATTCATTAATAATTTATAAAAAATAATGAATAAGCACATCATAATAAAATTTTTGTAGTCACATATTTTGCATAAAATAAACTAGTGATTATAGAGGAGTACGACTGCACCTTTACTTCACACGTTTTCTGTAAAATTGGTCGTAAGGTGATTCGGTTACAGCGCTACTTGCCGCCCAAATCCAAAACTATTATAGTTTGGGTTTGTACTGACTAAATCTCAAACTTGGCCAAATTAATATCTCAAAAACTTGCAAAACAGCAAGATTTTATTTGATTTTTTTTTTATAAGTAGCAGCTGTTTTTAAGAGTTTGAGATTTTTCCAGCTTTTCTACAAGTATAGTTATAGTAAAATGATAAGCGATGATAATGTTTTTAGCATACGCTGATAATATTCGATTATTTCTAATTGTGTAGCATTCCAAGAATGTTCTAATTCATAAAGGCGAACCTCTTTTGGCAGATTTTGGTCTTTCGAAATCTCTTCTAGAATCGAATGATGGATATATATCAGAAATTCGTGGAGTGCAAGCTTATGTTGATCCAAAATTGCTTGTAAACAATAAATCCAAACACCATAATGAGAAAGCTTCTGATATATATAGTTTCGGAGTGCTTATGTGGGAAATATATACTTGTTGTTCCCCATTTGAAAACTTTAAGCACGACTATGCGTTTGCAGCATGGCTTTGTCTTGGTCTGAGGGAAGAACGAAAAGTAGGAATGCCTATGAAATATATAGATATATATGAAGAATGTTGGAACCCGGATCCTTCAGTCAGACCTAAAATTTCTGACATATTAAATGACCTTGAGCTTATTGAAAAAGATCCTGGACGATCCTGTACGGAAGAAGATATTCTGCTCTACACGGAAAAGGATATTCCGTTAACAGGTCTGTGATGATATAAATAGCTGACTTCATGAAACAAAAATAAATAAAATTTTCACATTCGTAATTTATAATAGAATCTCCACTACAATGTTCTACTATTCTGTCAAATAATACTACACAAATGCAATTACCTCTGATTTCGAAAGATATGTTTTTATCATTTTTTGAAAGAGTTCATCACCTAAAAAGAACATGGGTACCAGTTAACATGCAACTTAATAAAACAATGTGTAGAAAATTAGGTCAATGCATTATTGACGCTGAACACATTACTTGTTCGCTTGAAAATCAATTTGACATTAACGCTGATGATCCATTTATAACATTAGAGAATTATTTATCATTTAAAGCTTTTTTACGAAATTTACAGAGCATCAAAAATTTTATTGAAAATATTTCTCAAATTGGGGGGTTAAAATCTTTTATTCGTGTGACTGATTCGAAAATTTCATTGAATCAACTAAAAAATTGGTATATTAAATTACTTAAAGAGTTTAGTGAATCCATGTCGTCTCTCAATTTCGAGTGTCGAATCGATAAACAAGTTTTAGATATCAACAAGGAAATTGATTATGATATTGAAGAAACAATCAAGGTTTTTTTTGTCGAAAAATATTTTTATATAATTTTTATCTTAAAAAATAATTTACATTATTTATTTTCTAGTTTATCGAAGCACTTCAACACAATTTTGATGAAGTCGATTCCATATTTGAATTTATTGATCAGATAAATGCCAATATTAAGAATGTTTCTATTAATGATGATTTATTTTATAACCAATCAATGGGGTCTATAATGGAATTTAAAGATAGAGGCATTCAAAAAGCAAATGATGGTAGCATCATAATCATAAGACAGTTTGAGTTTCATCAAGATGAAAAGAATGATATATTTGTTCAAGTTGCACTTTTAAAAGCTTTAAAAGATTTAGTGAACATAGCCAAATTTTATGGAATCATACAAGACACATCATCTCTTAACTCAAGATATGTGATCACAGAATGGTCAGATCATGGCAGTTTAAGGGAATATTATGTGAAGCATAAACCTCTGGATCTTTTGACTAAGTTAATATTTGCATTTGACATATGCAATGGATTGGTGTTTCTAAATGCAGTAAATTTTCTACATCGAGATATTAGGCCTGAAAATATATTGATTTCTGGTGCAAGAAATCTTAAGGCCAAAATTACAAACTTTTTTCATGGTCGATTAATGACAGATGAAACGAAAAATGTCGGTGTTGGGCCCGGAATCAGATACATAGCACCAGAAATATTAAAACGAAATACACGCACTCATACTCGTTCATCTCATCCAACTGACATTCACGAAAAACATAAAATAAAATACGATTTCAATTGTGAAACTTATAGGTAGGTTTAAATGTACAGTGAGACCTTTTTGTGTCAATATTTTTGTTTCGTTGATATATATTTTATTGAATGTGAAACAGCAAATAAGTTATAGTTATCTGCTGCTTCGAATCAAACAACTATATATTATTAGTAGAATCACTATTCATTGACAATAGTTGCACGGATTAGTAGAATTAGACCTATGTCCCAAATTTCTGAATTATTCATTTTGGTAAACCTTTAGAGTTTAAAGATTTAATTTTAAAACCAAAATGTTGGGCATAAAAATCCAACTCCGCAAATATCGCCATGATGAATGTTGTCGATAAATGGATCTGAAAGTATTTAGATTGGTATCTTATGTAAATTATTAATCAGAAACTTTATTACAAAATTTAGCTTTGGAGTGGTTCTTTGGGAACTTGCAAATGAAAAAATTCCATTTGATAATTATGATGTTCACTTTATAAAAAATAAAATCAATCATAAAAACCACCAATGGAATTTTGATAATTCTATACCAAAAGAATATATTGAAATCAGTAAAAAAGGTAATACAAAAAAAATAATAATAATAATAACGAAATTATTCTTTTAAAAACAATAGATTCTATTGATTATTATCTTATCATTGTTTAGCGCTTAATTATACACCAAGCGACCGTCCAACGATATGCAATATTCTCAAAGTCTTATATAACCTAGTAAATGATGCAAGGAAGATTCCGAAAGTGATCGTTTCGAATTATAATTAAGCGAAAATCGGACTTAAAAGCTAGACAATTGCGTGAAATTAAGGACTAAAAGTGAATAAAAGAATATATTAGAAATATAACTAATTGAATAATTATGATTACGATGTTCTAGTATTTGCTTCTTTTTTGTATCGAATAACATTATTTTATCCACATAGATATAATTTTATTTTACTTATCTATATCGAATAATATATTATAATAGCTGACAGCTTGCAGAAACCTTTGATTATGCTAAATATATTTACTATATCATAAGAATATCATTAAAATAATAGTTATTTGTTATGCAATTTATTTATTAAATATAGAATTATATATCATATTAAAAAATTAAAATAATTAAGATTTTTATAAACTCCTTTATAACTACAAATTTTTATTATAAACTATTTTTATTTACTAACAAAAAATATTCTTTACTAATTTTACATATAATTTGTCTATTTTGAAATTTAATTATAACGTCAATTTATAAATATTTATCATTAATTTTGTAATTTTTCTTTTGAAAAATTTTTATTACTTTTAAAAATATGTTAACAAGTTAGATATTATTTAAGTTAAAATCATCGAAACTAAATTTTATCTATTGTTAGTGACAAACCTGCCAAAACTCCCTGCGCCGAATTCGATGTCACGAGGCCCGAAACGTGACCACGACTCGGAATACCACGAAGTCGTGAAAAATCGTAGAGTAATCAGTTTCTTCACAAAGCCCCTCAAAACGCCAAGCCTGGAACAGCCCAAGAAGATGAAATTTTTGGAAGGAAATCGCCATTGGGTATATTGTGTGGTTTGGTTGTTGTTTTGGTTGTGATTGGGTTGTCCGTGTTCCCGCCCTTTTCCCGCTAACACTATAATTTATTTATATTTTAAATATATTTAGCAATATAGTACAATGCTACAAAAATTTATTTTTTTATAAAAAAAAAAATATTATAACATTATAATTATGAGTTAACAACTAGTTATTAACTTGTAATTACAAGATTAGGCCATGCAAAGTTAATTTTTCGTTTTGCATTACATGGATCTAAAAAAATCGGTCGGCGGGCGGATTTTTTTTTCTGTCGGTCATATCGGTAAATTCCGTGACATTCCGGGAAATTCCAGATAAAATTATGAAAAAAAATAAACTGCAAAAATCGAACAATTGGCACAATTGGAACTTTAAAAAAAATCGAAAAATTGAAAAATGGGTCGGCGGGTAACGCAAACGAAAAATTAACTTTGCGTGGCCTTATAATAGTGTTTTTTTTTTTAGAAAAACATTATTATAACATAATAATTACTAGTTATAAACCCAGTAAAAAATATTTTAAACATGTTTTAAAGACATTATTTGCTAATTTAAAGCTTCTACAAAGTAGAGGCAAGATCTGATTGTCTTCGGGAATATACGCCTTGTTGTCAAAAGCAAAGAATGGTTAGAAACTAACCGAAATTTTCAAATATCCGATGATGCGCGACAACACCACTATTCCAGGAAACGGGTTAGTTTACAAATGCTTTATTTGTTTTTTTTTTATTCATACAGTACATTATTAATTTCTTCTATTTTCTAAAAGCTATGCAATAATTTGATTGTGACGGATAACCCTGAGTTTGGGTTTTCCATTGCCATATCGAGGTAAGAATGTACTCTGTAATATTTAATATGAGTCTCTTTCAAAAGTGTACTCATTTTTTTCGAATCTTTAAGTGCAATTTCATGAGCTTCCGGAAGAAATTAAATTTTTGGGAAAACCAACATTGGCACCATCGGCGTTAGAAGCCGATCCGGATATAAAGTGTTGAGGCAATCTGTGCTCTACACATTACACATTAAACATGGTTCATTATAATCATTTCTGAATGTGCAATTTTGATCTAGTTATTCTAAAGTAAAAAAAAAAAAGAAATTCTAAATACTGCAATAATTTAAAATGAAAAATAAAATAAAAATAAATGAAGAATAGTAAATAGAATAGTAAATAAATAGAATAGTAAATTCTAAATAATACCATAATTTATGGTATAAGCATTTTACATTTAACTGTTAATAATTTAATTTTATATTTAAGTGTAATTTCACATTACTTTCTGAAATATTTTGCAGCCTGCATCCATAAATGACTCGGATCTCTAGCACTCCGTTCATTATAATATAACTGATAATCTGCAGGTCTAAAAGCATAATCCATAACCTCATTTGGATTTTTAATGCTATAGGCTTCAGTTATAGTAAAATACAATGTTAAATATGAAGGAAGTGATAATTTCGAAACTAAGTAACTATCAAGATTTTTAAGTTGTTCAAGTAAATCGCTAATGTATGAATCATCTATTGCCTGTCCAACAGCATATCGAGCAAAAGAAAACCGACTATTCGGAAAATCCACCAACGGCTATGGTGGGAACATTAATTTTTGCTAATATTTGAGTTATAGTTGCACATGCTGATTTTATTATATCTTTCTCAGTCCAAGGAAGATTTGAAGGTGTTGGAAGTTTTAATATTCCACCATAAATTGCTGTGTCATTAAAAAATGCTTTTGAAGTGTATCTAACTGATCACCGCCACGGTGTATATATTATTTCCAATAAAGTCATTAACGCTATCAAATGAAGAATTAGTCTTTGCAGAAATAAATGATTTATAATGAAATAATTCGTCTGATTGGTTGATGCAAATCAATTACCCGGGTAACTTATTTATACACTTTAAAGTACTTTTTGAAAACGTAACGTTTCACTAATAAAAAATCACTACAAAAAGCCATTTCTAACTTCGAATTAACGTCAATATTCACTGTGCAAAATAATCTCTAAATCATCTTACTCCCTGACATACTTTGCTTAGGAGACAAAAATGCCATTTACTAGTAGAATTACAGGCCCATGTGCGATTACTATATGCGAAAAAAAGTCGACCAACTGGAAAACTGTAACTCAACATGTTATTTCAAAAGCGCAAGCTAACAATACGCTGCCTAATTATATTAATATAGGTGACACGATCTGTTTAAATTGTTATAATGGAATTATGCAAGGTTTGGCTAGATTTCAAAATGTTCAAGCTAGTATGGAGCAACCCGAAACTGTTGAGATTAGAACTATGAGTGTTAACTATATGGAAACTGTTGTAGCTAACGAAACTGAGAGTGCTAACCCTTTGTCTTTTTCTTAAGCAATAGAGATTATAATAGTTATTTTATATGTTTGAGAAAATAGAAAAAAAGAACTAACTATATATACATTTGATGAATTTGAGGAAGTTATAGTAAGAGAGGATACTAGGTTAAGGGGTTTTTTTAATGAATTGTATCTTTTATCAAACCCTGAACCAAAAAATAAAGATTCACAGGAATGGGTAAAAAAATAACTTTTATTTATTTGTTACTTTTTATGCAGGATTCAAAATAAATTTGTTAATAATGCTAAGAGAGACTTAATATTGTATATAGTTTCAACTGATGCTTCTAACACTTTAATTGACACACTTGCAGATTTAGGTATAGCTACTACATCCCATACGATTACATGACATAAAACTTCAGCATCTGAAGAGCATAAAAAAATTATTGATTCTGAACTTGACAAGAATGTAGACAAAGCAATGATGTTGAATATCGATGATTATCATAATATTCATACAAAATAAATGCCAAATATCATTACAATATCTACTGCAGCACATTTAGCAACAATTTTTATCAATCCAGTTACCACTCAGCCTGCAATTTTGAGAGAGAATATACATAATTCTGCACTGGTCAATACTAACTTAATTAAAATAAATATAATAAATAGATTTATGACACCCTTTGGTCTTTCACACAATCAGCATTGGGGATTTTGTATTGTTAATAATTATACAAGATTTGACGAACTAACTATATATTTTTATGATATTAGGATGAAAGAAAAACACAATGTTTGTTTAATGAAAGATATTGTCCGTATTGACCTACAAGAAAATAATCTTCATTCTTTAGAAGATTATATTAATAACATTACAAAAGTTCTATCTATGTGGCAATATATTTACAAAAGGCATATCATTCCTCTTGTTGCAGATTGGCCTAGACAGATTCATCTTAGAACAGCCATTTCTTGCTATTTGTATTATTGTGATTTTTTGAACATTACTAATAATATTTTATCTTTTCTTCCTATTATAGGTTCTTTAGCTAAATAGCCAAGAATTAGTATTTCTTCAATATCAGCCATTCTTTTCTGCAATGTATAAGTATATTTTCAGAGAGAATAAGCCTCTTGCAGAAAATTCTAAGCCATGGTGTATTAACCTTTTTTTAGAAATTTCTCACAGTGCATAGTAAGAAATTTCTGCAATAGTTGAAGCCAAATTTGCAAAGATGCTAAATATCTTGTACTTAAAGATCATTTTGACAATACTATACCACTTGTTCTAGATATTAATACTGTATTTTTTTGATCTAGTGATTTTAACACTTATTTTAAATCTAGTTTTTGTGTCTAGACAGTATTTTTAGGTTTTGTCATAAAAATTATTCCAAGGCGTCTCTAGTATTCCTTTCTAATATCATTTACTAGGAGCTAAACAATTATCCAATCTTGAAAACAATAAAGGCAGAGCTTCCAAAGTTTGAAGATTTAACTATTGAGATATTCTATAGTTTTTTGCATTAATGTACACAGAAATTTACTGAAGTGCAACAGATTATCAAATGTGGGTATTAGATTAATCAATTGCAGTTGGATGACAATAGTTTTAGAAAAAACTTCACACATATGTCGACATGGGCAGTTTATGAGTATTTTGCACATGATATTATAATTTTAACTAAGAAAAGTGCATGTTTTCTTTTACAATATTTTTTAGAAATTTATATCTATTTATTTCATTATAAAATTCTATTAATCTATCAATTACAGATTGACCCAAATCTACCTTCAAAGAAAAGAAAAAGAGAACCCAACTATGATACTATTTTATTGGCAGCAATGAAAATGCTAGATGCACAATTATACTACCTTCATTTGGAATTCAGTTCTTTACACAAACCAGACCCTTTTCGCCATTGTGATGTATCTAGCTGTTCTTTTACTTTTTTTCCTAATAATACAGAATAGGTTATAATTTTAGCCTGTAGCTATATATATCACAAGTATTGTTATATTCACAATAGGTCCAAATGCATATATTGTCTTGTGTTTTTACAAGAGGATGTCGACAAACAAGTTCAGTCATTGTTAACTCATTTAAAAGAGAAGAGTTCCAAGAAGAAACAAAGTAAGAAGCATGATAATGACTCTCTTGGTGATGATAATGATAATGAAAATAGGCCAGTGAAATATTTAGCATTTGAGTTAGAAGAGACATTGTGAAAATTTCAATTATTACACTAGTGAATTTTTTTTCATGTACTTAATCAATGTTTTTTTATTAAATTATTACAAAACGATTACCTAATAAATTATTACAAATCAATTAATTAATAAATAAATAGCCAACTAATTTGAATAGGATTTAAGATAAAAGAATGTAGTAGTGTTTAAACTTCGTTTTAGTGGCACTTGAGTTTAACTGTTAAAATTCTGGGTTATATCTTGCACGTAATGAGTTTGGATATCAAATTTACCTCATTCTATGCTATTTATTCTAAAAATATAAGTAATAAATTCTTCCGCATGCATTATTAATTTGTAAGCTTCTTTATGCGAAGTTTTCTACAGTAGTAGTATTAAAATGATGTTCAAAATTATGCATTTTAATTGGTTAATTTTCACGGGAAATCACGGGTAGATCTACAAAAATTAACCAATCATATGAATGTCTCCCCATGAAGTTACCAGCCCATCAAACAATGTCCAACCCACCCTAAAAAACCCGAATATTTCAATAAACGGTACTTCTTTCTACGGCTTAGCATAGCTCTTTTATTGATTTTTATTGTTTTTTTTTTTTACTTGTCTAGATGTCAAAAGTTCTTTTGTTAGTTGTAACAAGTGCTTCGTTTGTTAGTTCTTCAACGTCACTTAGGAGCAAACTTTCGTGTAACAGCTTATTGAAAAAAGGCCCCAAAAATCAAATCAGCCGATAAGGTTAATAAAATTTCCTCAGACTTCGATATCTTTAATAATGATTTTTAGATTAGAATCTATTTCTCAATGAGTTATAGCTTTACAATGTTTTATTATTATTATTGCTCGACCAGCAGACTTTATTTACACGAAGAAGAAGCATGAGGATTCATTTACAGGCTTTACAAGCCTTATCTTTGGGAGACTTGAAGAACAGGGAGCTAAGGCCACGCAAAGTTAATTTTTCGTTTTGCATTACATGGATCTAAAAAAATCGTTCGGCGGGCGGATTTTTTATTTTTTTTTTTTTCTGTCGGTCCTATCGGGAAATACCGTGACGTGTCGGAAAATTACGGATAAAATTATATAAAAAATAAACTGCAAAAATCGAACAATTGGCACGATTGGAACTGAAAAAAAAATAAAAAAATCGAAAAATTGAAAAAATAGGACGGCGGGTAATGCAAAACGAAAAATCAACTTTGCGTGGCCTAAGTGATGTATTCGTTCACATCATCACGTGAAATTATGAAATGACATCATTTGTTTACTTGCACTAACAAATTGGCCTAAACTAACTATTACCTAACGCTAACACTAACCCTAACGTCTTAGGCCGAATGATTAATCATGTTATGTGATGAGTACAAATATATTACTTAGTTCATTAATCTTCATTCTTCCCGAATCGAGTATATATAAATATCTGGCGACGTAAGAGAGACTAAAATATAGGTCCTTGTACCGCCTACAGCAACCGCGGAGCCTGTTCACCAAGCATGAGGTCTTCACACTGATTACAGCAGCTGTGAAACAGTTTAAGTCCTTGCATTGCCTACGACAGCTGAAGCTTAATTGCCAAATGTGAGATCCTTGTGCTGCCAATCGCAGCCGCAGAGCCTAACAGCTAATTAAATTATTTCGTGACATTATCACGTATACAGGCTGTAACGATAGGTATTTATTCTCAGCCAAATGAACTATCGGAGCTAAATTAAATCAACATCTGTAATTGTTCTCCCAACCGATAGTCACACCATTTAGTATGCACATTTGTTAATTTTTTCGGTTACATCTCACAAATTACTTGCGTACACTATTTCACTAGTACAAGAAAAAAAATAGTACAGAGTAATTATATAGGAAGATAAATAAGATCAAAGTTTTATAGTATACTTTTTTAATATGATGCAATTAACTACAATATTAATATTAGGTAAATTGTATAAATAAATAAACTTATTAAAAATAGGTGCTAAATTATAAAAAAAAAAAGTGCTATAAATAGACATCTCGTGAAATTTATCAAATATTGTGTTTCTCTCTACTAGATTTATATTTAACCTAGTTACAAGTACAATATAGCATATCTTAATAGATTTTGACTTCAGTTAATATCCATAACTTTTCGCCGTTATTCCACATCAGGGAGAGCTATTATTTTCAATAGTATCAGTCTTTAACATAATCTAATAATGAAATATCGATAATACTTTCATAAAATTGAACCCTCTTTGTTAAATTATCAAGTTGTTTTTTTATTGAGGAAATATCATATTCTTTGGCGTCAGATTTTTCTTCATTATCAGGTTCATCAGATTGCAAATCCAACGCAAATGGTGAGAGTTTTTTCTTATATTTATTTTTGAATAGTTTCGATTTTTGTACAATACCCCATGGAGAAATTAAACCAAAACCTAATAATTTGGTTTAAAAAGGAAGAATAATAATAAATTATTAATTATTTAACAGTAACTTATTTTAAAAGATAGACTTACCAAATAAAAATACATAAAAAGCTGCCATGAAACTCCAAATACCACCAATAACACCTAGTAAACTTAAAATCTATTTATATAAAATAATAATAATAATGAGTATTTATTTTTTTGTTTGTAAAAGGGTTAATGCATAATTTCTCTACTTACAGATTTGCCTCTATTATTATTATTTGAAAAACTGTTAATAAGCGTTAATAAAACATTGGCATGATGATTTATTTAAGATAATTCACCTTTGTTCTTTTTCTTCCCTTACAACATAAGAATCTGTGACCAATTGTATCATTGCATAATAAATCCCTTTCGCAGCCTCTATAGTTATTAACCAACAAATATTTAGAAACTAAAAGCAAATAATAAATGATTTTAATAGAAATATTCTTACGATTAGATGAAAAATTTGCATTAAAAAACATATTCGGAAATGGGATATTTTCTATAGTTAATAGTGCAAATAATCTTAGTATAAAGATAAATATTGAAAAATATTTAATGAAATATAAGCATAGCTAAAAGCATTCTTACGTATACTTGATTCAATATATGGTTGCGTATCGTATTTAGATGTATAACCAAAGTAACTTAAAATATCGGACGGATTTATTGAATGCTTGATAACCCTATTAAACTTCCAAACATATATCTACAAATATTTAAATCAATTAGTGAAATTATCGCTCTTTAGAATTATTAAGTGTACATACATTTCTGTCATTTTGAGGTTGAGATAAATAATAAGCATTTTTAAAGTAAAGTGATTCTTCAAACGGAGTTGGTGGATTATTAAATTTAGACGGATCAAATTCTAGATAATTTGTTTATTTCCATATATCAATATTTAAACACCTAAA